AGACCACCAAGTTTATCCACAAATGTTGGCATACAGTACGCATAATACTGTGTGATGAAATAATCTATACTTTACCTATCCTCCCTCCTTTGATTAATCTTTTGAAGAGGATATATTTTAGTACTGACTCACTTGAACAGTTTTTCCCAATGCAGCCTTCATATAAAGTCTATCATATCCAAATGGGCCTGACAGTTGGCTAGGCTCTCAAAAATATTCTTTCTTTATGCATTCCTGAATGTTTTAAAAGACTGTGTATGTAATCTGACTTTAAACTGTTTCAAATAATAGGGCCATAAAGCACAGGAAGCAGTCATAAATCACCAATTCACAATCTTTCCTGATCTTCAGATCTCTGACATTGTTTACCAACATCGGAAGTTTCAAATCCACCTAGTGTTCTCAATATCCCCTTCTATTTCTTTGGTTCTAATCTGGAATTCCTATAATACTTTCCTTTTAATTCTTTATTATGAAAGACATAATAAAACAATAACACTGCTCAGTTTTTTGTCTGGAGGACATGCCTGCTGACCTGCAGCCTTTACCAAACCTCCCTGCTCTAAAACAGACAGTGTGACATTTAAAGAATATTTTCTAGATGTGGTGTGTCAGTGTGTGCAGGGGCAGATGACCATTCTGCGGGGCCCAGGGCAGCCCAATTTTTCAGGGCCCCCCTTTGCCACGGCGCATGCGCGGTGGCACCACGGTGCATGTGCGGGGCTTCTTGAAGCGCGGGGCCCGGGGCGGCCGCCCTGCTCGCCCTGCCCTATATCCGCCCCTGAGTGTGTGTACTGAAATGCAGGCATATGGAAGTTCATATACACAAAGATGTAAATATATGTAGCCTCCCATTATGAGACACATTCCTAATCTACCATGAGACTGGCAGCACATAGTCTGACCAACCAATCAATCCCAGCCATCCAGTATAATTTTTGCAGGAAACCTGTCCTAACGTAACATACTTTTAAAAAAAATGGCCAAAACTCTTCGAGACCCTTAAATCAGAGGCATACTGAAAATAGATGAGTCATCTTTTTAGTTATATTTAATGTTATTTGCTTCAAAAAGGTATTTTTCCAATATTGATACACAGATTCTACTGATATGTAACTTTCTCTAAGTTTATTACATTCTTTGGAAATTGGTATCATTTACAACACCTACTTGTGAATGAAATTCTTGCAAAATTTTACCAATGAATTACTTACACATGACTACACAGAGCACTAATGCCTAGTATACCAGAAAACTACAATATCCTGTTACATTTTCAAAAGGAAAAGAGAAAAGTAGACCCACAATTACAGCCCCTAAAAATAAAATGTAGGCACCATGCCAGTCCTTGCATTATCTATTCAATGTCTATTAAGATATTTCTTCTACTTTAATGAATTAACATGACAGGATTAAAAGTGGCATAACTCCTGTGTTCCTAATCTCAGGGTATAATATAATTTATGCATGTAATTTTCTAATGTACAAACTTCTTTCATAGCTTATAAAAATGTAATAATGCATATTTTAGAAAACTTGCCAGCAGCTACAGCATAGTTATTTTGCTTATTATAGTGTGCTGCAGACCTACATTATTCCTAACATATTACTGGTAATGTTACAAAAACACTCACCTTTTCATCTATAAAATAAGAATATTGTTCTGCTTTCTGATAGCGGACTCTTTTCCTTACTTAAAAAGTAACAACATTAAAATGAATTAGTAACCTCTCAAATATTTTTCTATTACCAAAAATACTGCCTTTATTTCTGTATAGAAAGGAGCCAATTTCTTATCACCCCGCAGCTCATCTGTATATTCAACCATAATGTTGCCTAGCATTTTACAGAAGGTAACTACGTAGAGTGAGATTACAAATAGTTAGATGACATGAAACTGGAGGAAAAAATCCCTCTATCTTATAAGAAAGATTGCTATAGAAAAAAATGGAAAGTGGTAAAGAAGTTATGGTAGAAACTTCTAGAATCAGGCCCGGCCCTTGGGCAAGGCGGTTGCCTTGGGCCCCACACATTCAGGGCCCTGTGCTTCCCGGCCCCACCCACCCAGTTGGGAGCCACGCAGCCGTGCGGCTCAGTGTGCTGCCTTGGGCCCTGCACACTCTTCAGCTGGGCCTGCTAGAAACCATATGGAAATCTTCTGAAAAGTCATATTACATGAATGTATTACAGCAAATTCATGCCACTGAACATTAAGCACACATTATGAATGCAGTCAGGATTTTGTTATATTATTTTTCAGCAATAAGAATCATATTCAGATTTTTTTTAAATGTTGACAGGATGTGAATTAGATGCTATGGCTGGCAGTCCAATGTTTATCTGATACATATGTAATATTAAACCATTAATGTACAGCTGGATCTATATGTATTTTATGTATTGATATGATTTAATCCAATACGGTTATTCCTTTGTCCTGAATTAATTTTAGCTTACTGAAAAAATATGCACGACTCCAGTTTGACTCCTTCCCATTTCCACCATTTACAAGAAATCCATGTATCTCTAACCTAAATGTCCCAATGTTTTCCATTGAATGATTCCATAAAGTCATTAATCATAGGATTGGAAGGGACTTCAGGAGGTCATCTAGTCCAGTACTCAGCATTCATGGCAGGACTAAGTATCTTCTGATTTAATCAGAAACCAGTCTTTTTTAAAAGCCTCAGTAGAAGGTTCATACCTCTGTTATGGTCAATTACCAATAAAATCTATAGTTTTTCTATACCACATGCTGCAGAAATCCCTTTGGATCTAAATTCATTGTGGCTATGGATTGCACATGAACTTTGTCTCCAATATTTTGCTCTTTCAACATGCTCATTATTGCAAGTTCAGATCAGCCATGTATGTGTGAGAAGAATATTACTCATTTTTAAAAACAGAACTGCCAGTAAAGTGACACTGGTAATTATAGCAGTACTCATAAAATGAGGAATATGCCAATGGTTCTCAGCTAGAGGTCTGTGTGAGCAGGTTTCCGGGGGTTACCCAAGCATGGCTGGATTAGATTCATTAGGGCCAAGGGCAAAAAGCTGAAATCGTGACATGTGAGACTGCAGCCCGCGGCCGAACTGAGCTTCTTGCTGCCTCCTGTAGAGTGGGATGTCAGGCAAGTGCCCTCCTTACTATCTCCTAACACGAGTTCTGGCTTTTATATAAAAAGCTGGACCATGGAATTTTATAGCATGTTGGAGGGGGGCCTTGTAAAGATAAAGGTTGAGAACCCCTCACAATGTATTTGTACGCTCCGCTGGTGGGTGACAGTACCAAAGATTTAGCGAAGCAAGAGATGAATAAGAAAATGATACTTTTATGATCACTGCTAAGAGTATACAGGAAACGCTTGCCATTTGTGGTGGGTGGTGCTGGCACCACTGCGAATAGCAAAATCCACAAATACTGGGGGCCACAGCTCCCCATCCCCGGGGTGAGCTCCCCATAGCTCCTGAACTCACGGTGCTCCCAGCAACTGCTAGGAACTCACCAGACAGGAGAGAATAGCAAGTGTCTACTGTATACTCTATTTTGGGCCACCTCTAGGAGCTTGTGTACACAGGCACAATTAATTAATGAAGACTAATTAACTAATGGTGTAAAACAAATCCCTAAAGATTAAGCTAAACCAGGAGCTATGGCTACTTTACTTCTGAATGACAGCATCCACACAGGGAATTAAATCTTTTTAATTTCATGCCTTTCATCTTAATTTTCCAGAATGTCCCCATATAGACAAGATCTAAGCCAGGGATTGGCAACATATGGCATGCATGCTACAAGGGCATGCAAGATGATTTTTTGTGGCATTCACAGCATGGTGTGGGGGCCTGTCAGCCTGGCAAGCAGAGCGGGCAGCATGACCCTGCGCTGGGTTTCACGTCCCTGGGGCATGCAGCTCCCAGGAGCTAAGGGGTTAACACCCTCCCCCCTGCTATGGGTTCTGCCTCCCGCTCTGGGAGGGGGTGGGGCTGGGCTGCTCTGCAGATAGGGGTGGTGTGGCCAGTCACACGCTGCTGCCATTTCCATGGGGGAGCTCCAGAGCGTAGCCTGTAGGTGAGGGACAAGCCCCAACAAAGGGCTGGGCCAAGCAAGGAACTGACTCTGCCCCACAGTCCCTTCTTGCCCCAGCGCTGCTCCTGGGCGGCAACGAGTCCCAGCACTGCTGCCCTGACAGTGTGTGTCCTGGGGGCACAAGGATGTGTGGGCAGGAGAGGATGATGCCTGGGTAAGATGTGAGGGCGCAGGGTTATCACTAAGAGGGATGGGGAAAATTAAATCTTGGCATGCTACTTCTGAAAGGTTGCCAACCCTTGATCTAAGCATTCTCTCCTCATTCCTTATTCATCACTATACTGCACCACAGTCCCAACAGTGCCAGGATTTCACTGTGTCCTTTCTTCCGGCCAGCTTTGTCTGAAGCTAAAATTTAGAGTGCCAGATGATCCAGGCTGCTCTGTAAAGTAATGAGAGGGGGAATCCCAAGGAGTCTTTTTATTTAAAATCATTTTTTTAAAAGTGTATCAAAGAGAGAAAAGATCAAACTCCTCTTCACTGCCTATAGTGGAGTTACATGAGTATTGAATTAGGACCTAGAGTTTTAAGAGGCAGAGCATATTAGAATGTCATTTACGTAGGACTGAAATGGGGGAGAAAGGTGAAACTGAAGGCCCCGTTGAGCTGACTGCAGGGCTCATTCCAGTGCATTGACTTATTTAATATCTAACATTTTGCTGTTCCATTTTGTGAATTTGAGAGCCAGCATGCACTAGAGATACCCAGACTTCTGTTTCAATTAAAGAAAAACTATAAAAAAAAACCCGACACTTAGTGAGGTCCATCTTCCGTCCCCAAAACTTTTTCTGCCTTTTTTTCATTCTTATTAGTACCACCGCTTAAAACCAGATACTGAAAGGAAAATGAGTGCTCATAGAGGCAGTATCTCTCAGGTATACTGTCTGTATTTAGCTACTGTAGCTTACCTGTTTCACAGCATAAAGGAGACTCCCGTAACAGTATATCATGACCGTTACAGGGATGACCAAGCAGAATATGAAGAGACAGACGATATAGGATACAGTCTCAGCTGATTCGGAGGTCCAACGTACTGAACAACTTGTGCCGGCCCCCTCAAGCCCATAACTGCTCCAGCCAATGAGTGGTGGTACTGTCCAGATCAAGGAATAAAGCCAGGAGCCCCCAACTGCTAGCAGAGCCTTCTGATAGTCAGAGCCACGTTTGTTACACAGGGTGAGGGTACTATACCGTTCATACGACAGGACAGCCAAGGAGATCAGGGACACAATGCCTGCAACAAACCAAACAATTTAGGGATTTAGTACCACTGTTTTGTATGGCATCACTGTCACAGATACGATAATAATCTGGACACACATCATTGAATAAAGTTGTAACCTTATTGAATTATGCTTAAGTATTTTAGGAGTACATTGTAATGAAAGAGCAAATGTTTTCGTACTGTTGAGGGTAAGTATGAATTACTATCGAGGAGGGGAACCATAGTCCTCTGGGAATTAAGAGCAGCGAGAGGGGGATTAGGCAAATTCACTCATATGTCAACATCCTCAGAGAGGTGCCACCAACAGTGAGAGTCTCAAAGACACTGGTTCAAACTGGATGCTCCCAGAACCAACAGTAAAAGAAGACTGTCAGTTAAATACCCTAAGTTAAACCTAAGTCAACTCGGGGACTTCCCTCTGATCCAATAAACAGACAGGGCTTTCTGTCCACGAAGGAGGCCAGGGGGAGGAAAGCACAATCCTTAGGGAAGGGTTGGAAGGTCTTTGGCTCACTCAAGCTCTATAAGAGGTGGGAGCTAGTCCTGAGCTTAAACTTTGATGAATTTATGATCAAGGGAAAAACCATTGTGTGGGGCTTGAAGGTCTAATCACCAACCAGAGTACTTCCTGGAGTGTTGGAATGGTGTTTGATAAACTGATTAGCCTGTGTGTAGGTTCTTTCATTGTTTTTAATATGTTTTCTCAGTAATTACAGTAGACTTCCGATAATCTGGCAACTTTGGGACCTAGGTGGTGCGAGATTATAGGATATGTCGGAGTATCAGGAAGTACTACATACTCCCCACCCCCACCCCAACCTTATGCTCGGGTCCCAGAGCTGCTGGTATAGCCACACGTCTCCCTCCAGGCACTGAGGCACGTGCGCTGAGTATCCGGCTTTTCAATGAGCTGGCAGGGACGCCAAGCGTAACCCAATTCCCCTCCCCTTTCCCTTCCCCGGAGCCAAACACCTCCCCTCCCTGCTGTAACACACGAGAGTGGCTGACCTGAGCGGTTCCGGGTTCCGTCCCGGTTCCAACAGGAGCACTTGCCATTTTGATGCCGGACTATCAGGAGTGCCAGACAATTGGGTGCCGGACTATTGGAGTTTTACTATACTTCACTTTAACAATAAATGTGCTAGCGTATAAAGGGCCGTGTGGTAACTTATCTGTAGCAATTACACTGTGTGCCTATGTAACCCACACACCTAGTGGGCATAGTGTACTCTCCCATCTAGTGGCCACATAGAGAGAGAGTATTGAGTCTGCTCTACAGCCTTAGCTAAGAGCTGGGTTTTAGTTCATGAGGTAGAGGCTCATGTACTAAGGTCCAGAGGTCCCAGGTTCATTTCCACTTGGAGACAACTGGGCTCTGCTGGCATTATACCAATTCTGAGGAGAGAAGAAAAGCATAGGCAGTCTGTCTTTTGCTGGGAAGATTGCGGTATAATCAGGGAACTGCACAGCCTGAAAATACCTCACCTAACCCTGGTCTACACTAGGGAGTTATTTCAAAATAACAAGCAGAGCATCCACACTACCAAGCCCATTATTTCAAAATAACTACTCCCCAGAGTCATTTAGAATAATTACTCCCCAGTGCTTCTTGGGGCTCTCAGTTGAGGTAGTACACCAACACTAAGAGAGCCTGCCTTGGACTAATTTCGAGGCTTCCCTGTAGCGTGGACACACTATTTTGAAATAGTTATTTCTGGAATTATTTCAAAATAAGTTATTTTAATACCACTTTACACTTTTTTGAACTTAACAAAGTTCTCTTTTGAAACAACACAGAATAGACGCTCAACTACTAATTTAGGACTCGGGGATTATCAACCATGATAAAACACAAACCCCCAAAACACATTTTCCTTTAGAATATTGCATAGGAAACCATTTCTCTTATCTACACAGAAATGTACACACATCTATAATGTACCAAAAGTAGGGTTGCCAGATGGTTTCCAAAAAAATACCAGACACACTTGCTATTACATCACAGTCTACATTACATCTTATTTAGAAAATACCAGACATTTATAATTTCTCAAGTTGTTTCCCGAACAGAAAGCTCAAATACTGGACTGTCCAGTTCAAATCCAGACACCTGGCAACCCTAACCTAAAGCCATTTTAGTTTTACTTCTCTAGTCTTTTCTCTGATACAACAAATATTTCTACTTTTCTCTGCAGAACCTGGCCAGTGATATATGTGATCCCAAACTACAGAAGTTCTAAAAAATTATATTCCTACTTTTGTCCCAGTAAGACTTTAAACTGTGTATTGTATTAGAGCATATAACAGTGTTGCACCGAATATCAGGCCATACTGAGTCCTGGTACTTTTAAAAACAGTAGCAGTGGGTGTGACTAGGTGGAAATTTAGAGAAGAGCAGGACAAAATATGGAAGTGCTAATGGGGATTGTCTTACGATGGCATAAAATATTAATACATTGTGCAAATTGGTTAAATAAAGATTAAGCAGTTGTGAGACAACTAGCTTTTGAAGACCCCATATACTTCTGAAGTGAGAAATGATTGTACAAGGGGTATAAAAATGAGCAGTAAGATAAAATTAAGAGGAGCAAAAAATGCAAACAAACAAAAAATCCAGGATTATTAACAGGGAATACTTCCTAGGAATGAGAAGTATTAGAATGGAATAATTTGCGAAGTAAATAATGTAAGCCCTTTCACTTTAAAAAGTAAAAAAGTTTAAAATAAGACCAAAGTAGAAGAAGATGCACAATAAGGAACAATCTTATAGCAACACAGAGGGGCTACGTCTACATTGGCATCCCTTTCCGGAAAAGGGATGCTAATGTGACGAGTCGGAATTGCAAATCCGCAGGGGATTTAAATATCCCCCGCAGCATTTGCAATTACATGGCTGCCGCTTTTTTCCAGCTTGGGGATAAGCCGGAGAAAAGCGCCAGTCTAGACGTGATTCTCCAGAAAATAAGCCCTTTTCCGGAGGATTTCTTATTCCTACTATCAAGTATGTTTATAAAATAAGAGGGTCTACCTAATGCAATATAAATCTCAACTCTTGGGATTTTCTTGTTGTGAGTGTGGAGCAGGGGTGGGCAATAATTTTTGGTGGGGGCCACTCCAAGATTTTGGAAAGTGGTCAAGAGCCACACTTTCCTGTAGAGAAGATGCAGAGTCTACGATGAAAGATAGGTGCAGAAGGGCAAATGGGGTAAGGGACTGGGGTGCAGGAGTAAGGGACTGGAGTGCAGGAGATGACATGAGGTCTGAGAGGGAGTTTGGGTCAAGGAGGGGGTTGTGACCTGGGTCAGGAGATTGAGGTGTAGGATAAGGGAGGGAGTTTGGGTGCAGGAGAGGATTCCGGCCAGAGGGAGAGGTGAAGGAAGGTGTACAGGGTCTGGGAGGGAGTTGTGACTTGGCATACAGGGGTGCAGAGGGTTTGGGTGGTGATCTGGGGGAGGGAGTTGGGGTGCAGGAGGGGCTGGGGTGCCAGAGGCAGGCTCTATGTCCAGACTATGCTGAAGTTTCAAAAGAGGATATGCAGAGCTTTCGAAAGTGAAAGTAGTCAGGATGTGTTTTTTCTGAAACCTCCCCTTTCTCGAAAAGCTGCATAAACCTCATTTTTTGAGGAAGAGCAGCTTTTCAAAAAAAAGGGGTCGGGGTTGCCAAAAAAAAAAACGCGTCCCGACTTTCACTTTCGAAAGCTCTGCTCATCCTCTTTTGAAACTTCAGCATAGTCTAGACATAGCCTACACTATGCCGAAAGCTCTGCTTTCGAAAGTCAGATTGGAAGAAGATATGCAAATTACCACGGAATTTGCATATCCTCTTTCGAAACTTCAGCGTAGTCTAGACGAGCCCTGTCTCCCAGCCAACAACTCTGCAGCACCCTTAAAGCAGGCTGGGCTCCCTGCCTGCTGCAGCCCCAGACCACTTGAAACTGCAGGCTGTTCCCTCCACGTGGCTCTCAGCTCCAGGAGAGATAAGAGACTTGCACTACCCCAACCCCCAGGCCAATCTCAACTCCTATTGGTTGGTTGTTTCCAGGAGCTGAGGATTGGGTTGGGGCAGTGGGGGCGGGGAGATCACAGGAAGTCTCCCACTCCCTGCAGAGCAGAGATCTGCATGGACTGCGCTTTAAACCGGGGCAGCTGTGTACTTGAGGGTCCCTGTAGGGTGGTCTGTGGGCCGGATCCGGTGGCTTGGTCTGGAGTTTGGTTTTATTTATTTTGTGTGTTGCTGGGGGGGTTTTGTTTTTGGTTTGTTTTTTGGGGTGGGGTTTTGTGTTTTTTTGACAACAAGCAATGGCACAACAACCTGGAGCAGAAAGTTTCTATTTGAGCGTGGCCATTGTCATGGCTTCCATTCTGAACTTTGGCCCAGGCCTACAAAAGGACCTCAGCACATATGTCCCACTATCATCAATCACTTTTGAGTTTGTTGGGGGTTTTTTGCAGACAAGATTTGCTCAGCAGCCATACAGAGACATCATTTAAATTCCTATCAGCTACATATTAGATTACCATAGTTTTCTTAAGACTCCCTTATGGCCTGTAACTATGCTGGTGACCCCACCCTTCTAGGAGGTTTTAGGACTTGTCAGGAGACATTGGCTTCCTGCTGCCGACTCATTGCAGCAGGTGTGGCTCACTAACTCCAGCCTGAGTAAGCGGGAGATGGGAGAGTCCCTCCTATAAGCAAACCACGTCTCCATATTTCAGGTGTATAAAAGAAAACTAGCAACTCAAAGCGTCTGATGACCGCACTATTGGATACTTGCTAAAACACACTTTAAAATCTTTCCATATTTTCC